CTTCAAGGATGTGGTTAGGGTTTCTGGTTTAAGTGGGTAGAGGGAGGTGTGCAGGGTGATGTATGATGGGAAAGAAAAAAAAATATTTTAGGTGGTGATATGCTTGCTAGAAACCTTAAGATAGGATTACGATTAAGCTAGCTCGAATATCAAATGATACCGGAGTTAACACAAACCGCAATATAGAAAGAAAATATTATTATTCAAAAAGCAAATGGGGTTACAAGCAAAGACTCTAGGAATGAGGAAATAACAAAGACGCAACACGAGTGGTGTTGCGATTTGCGGAAAAAAAGGTCACATGGAAGGTTGGGAATGGTCGAAAGGCAGCAAGGGATGGCTGCGGTTGGCTGTTAGATGACACAAAGGTGGGCGGCTGCAGGGTATGGTGAGTTGGCTGCAGCAAGGAAGTGGTCGCAGGGAATTGGAAGGGTCGACTAGGCTTATGACTAGAAGGATAGGAGTTACGGGCCTGCTACTGTGCGTCAGACAATTGTACAACGATATGACAATAGGGGAAGGGCATGTGGGGCTGCAACATTGATGCTGGATGGTGGGACAGAGGTAGAATAACAAAAGGAAGGAGTGGTGGGTTGCGGTAGTGAAGGTGGACGTCTGAGCAACGAAAATAGTGAAGCTGGCATGCGATAGTGAGGGGTGGCGATGGGAAGGGCGGTAGACTACAAGACATCGAAGGGGAGGGTTGTCTGGGGACTGACGCAGCGAAGAGATGATTGGAATGGTTGAAAAGGAGTTGTGTAAGGATAAATATCCCCACGGGATCAAGATACAACTGGAGCATCACTAGAGCCCTTGGAGATGGTCGTCACCTCGGAAGAGTTACAACCAGAGCACCTTCCTGGCCTCAGGTACAATCCTATAAGGGGAACACTGGCAACTAACTGTTCTTCTGAAAAGAAACATATGTCAAAAACTAACTTTCAAACCCTAATACAATACATCTAGGATATGACTAAAAATGAATGAAAGATAATAGAAAAGAATGTATAAAAAAGGAAAACAAGATTGTTTCGGTGGCCCGTCTCCCGTTTCTTTTTATTTTGAATCCCACGATACCGTTGTTGCTGTAGTACTATTAGAAAATAGTGCGGGAAAGCTCCCTCGTCAAGAAGGATGTCAATTTTAGATTATTTGTCCATTGCCACACTCAAAATAATAATAAAGAATCATTATTTGTTAACATGCAGCAACAAACAGCTATCTCATATTCATAGGGCTAGATCTCAAATATCGTTACAGCAAGTGCGCATTAATGAGATTGTTGCTTGGAAAATGGCTTTCAGTATTAAACATGAGTGGTTGTTTATGCCATTTGGAGTGTGCATGTCTTAGGCATATTCATGGGCCTGATGAATGATGCGCCGTACTTGAATGACTTAGTTATTGCCTATCTTGTTGATATTTTAGTGTACAATAGGTATTATAGAGCATCCACTCCCCCCCTACAATTTGAGGCGGGTAATGGAGATATCAAAATTGATTATGAAAAGGTGAAGCAGTGGCCTGGATGGTGGTTTATGATTGATTTAAAGTGTTATATGGGAGCCTGCCAATATGTCCATAAATTCATTCATCTTTTTTTATTACTTTCCTCTCCATTACATGCTTTGAATAGGCCCATTGCCTAAATTGGGATAGAGTCAAAGGCATGAGGATATTTTTCTCTTGTTGAAAAAGAAACTAAGCAAAGGTCCCTGTGTCAACCTCTCCGAGTTTGCAACAACAGTTCGAATTGGAGAAAAATGCTAGTGGATATGCAATGAGAATGGTACTAATGCAGGATGGTAGATTCAATGTTTATCGCTCAAAAATTCTTAAATGAGCTGGAAAGAGATATCTCAACTATAATATCCATTTCTTATGACTTACAAATGTTTCATGGAGCCCAAAAGAGCTGCCTCACTTTTGATAAGGAGTTGTTGGTGTTTCATTAAATTGTGAAACATTAGCATACTTAGCTTCTATGGAAGGAGACTAAGGTACATATGGACCACATGCTTCTTCAATATTTACAGTCTCAAGTAAAGCTAAAACTAAGTCTGCATATGAAGTGGGTGACTTGTTTCAATTCAATCTGGTGATCAAGTGTAAGAAGGGGCCTACCAATAAAATGGCTGACGTGCTTTATTGGCCACCTTTAACAATTTCGTATGCAACTATTATCATGTTTGTTCAACTTCTTGTGTAGAAAGATTACCAAGAGCAATAGTAGAGGAATTTCTTCTTCCAAGGGGTATTGGAGGACTTCCAGAAGGCAACTCTTTTAGAGTTTTCTCTAAAAAATAATCTTCTCTATTAAAGTAGATAACTGTGCATACTATATTCTACAGAACAAAAAATGCGAAGGTGCAAAAGTGGAGGAAATATTACAAAACCTATGGTCATATATTTGTTGGATAAACATGCAAGCAGATGTAACTACATCAAGGGCTTTGTACCTTTTTACACCTCAGAATCTGTAAACTTGGAGTTGGGATTGTAGACAACATTTTCTTTATCAAGCTATCTGCAAGAAAGCATCTTCATGGATTGTTTTTGAAGGTTTGTCAAAAGTAAAGTGGGGCTTGATCACTTCTTTGTGGCATGGATTCAAATATGATTATTTTAATCCCTTGCAGCAAAACCATCAAAGGTGAGGAGATCATACTCTTCGTCCGACATGCATGGGCATACTTTAGATTGCCTAGTTTCATTATGTTAGTTTAAGATAGTTGGTTCTTAAGCCAAATTTGGGAGACCTTTCGAGCCATGATGGATACTGGATTGAAAAGGAGCACAATTTTTTTATCCGCAGATTGTGACCAAATAAACTTGGTGAATGGTACAGTGGTGCATCTTTTATGAGTTTACAATAATAAGCTTTCTCAAACATGGGAATGACAACTTGTCATGCCTTTAATTCAACTTCAATAGAATTGTGTAGATGAGGTATCGACTACAAAGCCCTATTTGACCTTTATTTTTTGTCCAGTTCACCCACCATTGGTGTCTTGTGGTGGGGTTGATGTTGACTAAACAAGACCTTAAAGATTTCTAGAGGGCATAAAAAAACTTGTGTATTGGTAGAGAAACAACAACAAAATACCCAACATAAACACTAAAAATGATCGTCATAGTGCCAAGGTTGACTTTCCAGCAAGAGATCTTGTATGGTTACACTTTGGTGTGATCACCTCAAAGGAGAAATAAATATGTGGAACTCTATCAGGTATGACCAAGTTAAAATGCTTAGAATGATTGGAGAAAGTCGTCTTAGATTGTCTGGTCACATTAAATGTCGACCATCTGATGATCCGATTAGGAGACTAGATATTTTAGATTCAACTTGTGTTAAGAAAGGAAGAGGTAGACCTAGGAAAACTTGGGCTTATTGTATTAAAAATGATCTTAATTTACTAGAACTAAATGAAAATATGACACCAAATAGGACGCAATGGAGAAAAAGGATTCATGTAGCCGACCCCACGTAGTGGGTTAAGCCCTTGTTGTTGTTGTTGTAGAATGATTGGAGACATTAGTCTACCGCCATACATAGAGATGTATTGGCTGTAAATGTGATGGTATTTTAGGCCTTTTGCACCTTCCGTGCTAGATCAAAAGTGAGAAAAACTACTACTTGCTTTGCATGATCTACTATAAGTGTGGGAATTTTCTTTAGAACTAGACGTTTTTGGAGCAAGATGATTGTTACCGTTAGGCATTGGCCAAATGAGACATTTTGCATTGCTATGAAATTCCATTCATCAAGTCATGTGAAACAGTACACTGAGGAATTGGGCAGGTAGCTTTCCCTCATTTGCAGCTTTAATCTCCCAAGACTAAATTCCTCATTAATAGAGGACTCGTAATTTAGCAATCTGATCTAGTGGGTGATCGTTCAGATTGTTTATAACCACAATTCAGATATTTGATTATGAAAAGATCGAAGATATCATGTTCATTAAAGTTTTGATGGATCTATTTCTCAAAGTTTTGATGGATCTTAAAGTTTTGATTGGTTCTAGTGATCCTTATATCACACTATTAAGATTGAATATGTTATTGCCAGGTGTTCATAGGCGTGATCTGATCTTTAATTGGCCATCATACAAGGAAAATCAAGAGTTAAGGCTGCTGAATCCAATTTTTAATTATAACAAGCTAATGATGAATTTAAATTTAGACAATTCCAGCAAAATTATTCTATAAATTGAACTTATTTAAGTTATTATAGATAATTACCTTGGTGGAGTTTATTACGTATTGATACTCTATTTTCCTGTTGTAATTGTATATAAATAGGCTTGGAATCCTGCAGAAAAAAAGGCAAACAGAAAATCTGAAATTCTTCCCAAGCTCTTTATTTTTTCTTTTTTTCTTCTCCATCCAGCCAACCTTTTGTTCCTGCAATGTGCCAGTTGTCGAGAACTGCAGGTACGGTTCCGTAGAAATTACAGGAAGGAGTGTGCTCTTTTGTTGCTATTTTTCCGTTGAGAAGCTGCTGTTTCTGACTCTGCCACGCTCAGCTACTCGAATTCCCTGCCACTGCTGCCTTCTCTAGCTTTCCTGTTGCTTGGTTTCAGAAAAAGTCCTTCATTTGTTGAGTTGCTTGGTTATTATGTTTTTTAGAAATGCTTTTAAAAAGATTTCATTTTTTTTCCGATTCAAGCAGTAACTCATATCAAATTTTAAGAAGCATCTTTTATAAAAACAATTTTTTTAGCAGGCTTTTTTAAACGGAGAAGTCTAACCAAACAAAGCCTTATAAGAAAAAAAAAAGGAACTCTTGGTTGTGAAGTGCAGAAAATGCAATAAAATAGAACCACTTAGCGCAGTGCCCAATTGAAACATTGCTGAGACTGAATTCAGCTGTTTATTATTTTCTTCTTAGCCCTCAAAGAAATTTGGAAAAATTAATTTTGCTCGTGTTAAGTTACTATCATGAATCTATCCTTCATGAACTTATCTTCCTCATCGTTCTCTGTTTGCATCTTTCATAGGTTTCATACTACTTCAGAAAACCATGTGTAAATGACATAGTGATCTTTAAGAGCCCACCAGTGTTACAGGTAACAGTTAATCCCTTAAAAGCTGATAAATTTTAGTTGTTTAATTTTTGCACATTACATTGATTTTCATTATAATAATCTTCATCATGCAGGAGGTTGGATATACCGATGATGATGTTTTTATAAAGAGAATTGTGGCCAAAGCTGGGGACGTTGTGGAAGTAAGTGTATCGAGTATTATGAACTCTGGTCTTTCCGATACAAAATCTAAAGTTCTTACTCATTTTATCAGAGTATATTCTTACTTATGCTGTGAAAAAGAAATATGATCATGCCTGCATGATTGATTAAAGCACCTGTGCAAAAAAAGAAGAAGACTCACATAAATACTACTTAATTCGTATGTATCTACATATCTAACACCTAGACTTCAATTTTTACATAGATGCCACATTACCTATGCGTGAAAAGGTATATTTTACTTATTAAAAGTAAATATAGTAGTATTTTATGTGTTATGAAAGATTTGGGTTGTGTAAACATAAAAAGCAAAGTTTAGGGGTTAGATATTTAAGTACATAGGAATTAGGTTGTACCCCACAATAAGAAAATAAAAAAATCTATTTGTGCCATTTATTTGCGCTACGGTTAATGCTCTCTCTCATTTTTTCTGCCTTTCTTTTTTATTTGTGAACAGAGTACTGCTCCTTAATCATTAATTTGTAAATAATTCATTGATAATTTTTAGCATAATCTTGCTAGTTATACACCTATATTACATTTCAACTGCTTTTTCCTTGAAAATTTTTAGCAATACCATAGATTATTCATGATATTCTGGTGAATAATTGTAGGTACATAATGGTAAATTGATAGTGAATGGCACTGTAAAGGATGAAGGGTACATCCTTGAGGCACCATCTTATGATATGAGTCCCACAGTAAGCCTAACATTGCCCCATTTGTCCTTATTTTATTTTTGGGGCATTTACATGCATACCATCTATTTCCTATGTATTGATATTTCTAACACCTGAACTCTAATTTTTACATTTATACTGCCCAAATCATTCATATCACATAAAAAATATCACCATTTAACTTTTAAAAGATGAAATGCATTTTTCCATACATGGTTAAGGTGGCCTGTATGTAAAAATTGATGTTTAGGTGTTATATATGCGAATACATAGGAATTGAGTGGCATGTGTGCAAGTCTTCCTTTATTTTTTCCATTCTTTTTTTATTTGGAGAACGTCATACATTGTTTTCAGTCCAGATTGCGCTTAAACTACTCAGGGGATTTTAATTCAAAAATAGGAAAAATGTAGAAAGAAATGGCTAATTAGGGTAGGATGTTGTTCTGAGAGTTATCTTGCACTCTTAATTCTCAAATCTGTTTTTCCTCCATAAACATTCCCAAAAACATCGGAGTAGTATTATCATGGCCAAGAAACATCAAAAAACTTTAGGAGCCTATACATACATACATATATATGATTAATATTTTTAAAAAATTTAATTGACTACAAGGCTACAAAGATTTATAATCAATTAAAATTATTAATTAAAAAATAGAATAAAAATATATTAAATTATATTTAAATGATATTTTAATATAAATAATAATATTTAAATCTCGCCTCAACCCTTAGCATCCTACGCTTGCGTGACTAGGGTTGTCAAAACGACTCTTTATTCACGAACAACTCGTGTTCGGCTCGCAAAGCAAACGAGTTAAACACAAGTGCTTTTTTTTGTTTGAAATATAAACGTGTCGGACACAAGCAATAGTATTTTTTAACCAGCCGAACACGAGCGACACGAGTTGAGCTTGGGCTCGCTCGTGTTCTGCTCGTTTACACACCTAGGCTCAGTTTAGAAGAACTTTGTGCAAAACCATCATTATTTTCCCTGTTATCGTGATCTTTTTGTGATTGCTAGTAGCGGTTCTTACACCTTGAGCTTCATTTATCCCTTTGCTAAATTAGAGTTGCGAAAGGAATTGCAAGCTTCCTTTGTTTGACTTGATGGCTTCACCATCCACTCAAGCATCCATTAGAGTTTCTTCATAAACATTGGGTATCAAACTTCAGCTCCTTCGCAGCTGCATTTGAATGGCTAAGCAAGTCTTGCTCTTCCCTTTGTCTTTCTGTTTATTCAGAGATCACACTTAATGCAGGATCCGGTTTCCCTCAGCAAACCTTCCATCGGAAGACTGTCATCCCCTCATTCAAGAAAGAAGATGCTGTCATGTTGTTTCTGCCCTCTGCAAAGCCTTGGAGTTTCGTTCTTCCACCATCATACCATCGGGCTTATGCATTCCCGTCTGATTTTGCCCGTTGCGCCCTTCTTCTCTGAGGCAACATCCATCTTCTTGCAAGATGCTGCGGCTGCTCCCTTCGATTTCCGATGTGGAATTTCTGAAAATTTGCTTCCAGCCCTTGACTCCAATCTGCATCCATCCTTGTGACAGTGTGCATCCCCCCACCCACACACACACACACACAAGAGTGAGGGGGTGACTCTCCTATCCTCGGAGTTTCTCTCACTAAAGAAATCAAGAAAGAGAAAGGTTTATGCGCATTCATGTAAAAATTGAAGCTTAGGTGTTCAATATGTAAATACATAGGAAGTGAGTGGAATGCATCTAAATCTTCCAAAACTTTAAATGGGAGGTGAATAAGCTCAAAAGGAGCAGGAGCCATACATAGAAGAGATATTAAGAAGCTTATTTTGTAGCACATTGCTCAATATATAAATGGTTTATTCCTATGTTTGATTCATCTATATAGTTTTATAAGTTATTCGCTCTTTTTAAATTATAAGTTGTTGTCCAATTTGTTATCGAACAATTAACATCGACAAACTTATAAAAATGCAGTTAGGCTCCACTTAAAGTCTAATTTGGCCAAGGCAAATTCAACTTAAATAACATAACCAATTAGAGAACAGCCTGCTTGGCATCCATTCCAAGTTGGCACTCCTTGTTCCTCCACTCCATAATTTTCTGAATTAGCAATGACATTTTTCTTCAGCAACACATACTTAACTCGCTGAATCCTCGTCTTCTTCGTTTCAGCAAGTGCCTGAAAACTCAGTATTCGTAATGGGCGACAATCGCAACAATAGCTATGATTCGCACGTATGGTAATCACTTCATCCCTAATTTGAAGTTTCAATATATTGTACTTCTATAATGTGGTCTTCCTGCAGGGGACCACTTACCATCAAAAATATTTTAGGCAGATCAGTATTCCGCTACTGGCCACCAAAAAGAATTGGAAGCACAGTAATTGATCCAATTTGTGAGGGTGTTAATGAGCAAAAGAGCAGTCCAGCCACATTAAGAACAGCAAAATGAAAATTTGCCAATTGAGGTTTGTCTCCTCTTTTCTTGCGCAAATTAAATTGTTTGCATCTGTCTTTGGATGAAAGTTGCCACTTTGTAGCAGGGAGCATTTTTATCTGTTATTCTTATTAATGTATTTGATTAAATTTCATGGGCCTATTTTATGTTGGCTCTATAAATTAGCAATTTTATGGTAATTGAGAAAAGATAAAAAAAAGAGGCTTAAGTTTGGAATTGCCCCGCTGAATTATGTGTATAATTTTATTTTTTGGCCAACAGATTTTATATTTTTGGAACATAGCTCAGCACAGGAAGACACAAAGTGACCAAAACCGAAGGCTTACAATTGCAAACAAAATTAGCAGCAAGTGTTGGAAATATAAATGATGGATGGGATGGATTTAAAAAGTTTTGCAAGCCAAATGTCATCTGATAGGAATTTTTTTCACATAAAAAAATCTTATTTAATGATATACTTTCACTTTTTTTGCATGAAAAAGTAATGAAATCATTCACGCCATTAATAAATTTATCTGACAAATGATCATTGCGATCTAAATGATATACATTCATGCACAGATCTCCTATATTTAACAAAAGATGTCAAAGGTTATTAACAACAAGAAGTTAAGGTGTTGAAGTATGCAAAATAAATAATTTTAAATTTGATTATATGTTTCATAATCAACCCCATCCAAAAGTAGTCATGTAGGAGGTTAATCATGAAAGCATCAGATTGGTGGGAAATTTTGTGGTGGTTTTCTGAGGTGTTAAAAATAATATATATATTAATGTCAAATACTTGTATTAACTTTGTTATAAGCAAGCTAGGAGTATTAATGATTTATCTGCAGTAGTTGGAAAATCTGATCATTCATCATACTAGTTAATTAGGAATACCTCCTAAATTTGTTTAGCTCTGGTAAAAAAAATATTCCAAAGTAGCAACCAAATATGCTCAACTGGGCTAACTCTTTATAACTTTGATCAGTCAATACGGGTTATAGTTTATTGCTTTGGAAATTATCTAGATGTGCATTCTAATCACTCAACTAGTACTAAATTTAGTCAAAATGGCTCGACCGTTAGTAAATCATGCAAAATCAATTAAATTTAGTGTCTTCACACCAACATCTTGATTTTTGCTATTTATGTCAATGATAAGAAAATTTTCGATAAGGGTGCTTGAAGGCATTATATAGAAATTTAGCATAATTATTGTATGGAGAAGTAACATATAATTTGTTTTAGCAAAATGTAGTGATTCTCTTGCAAGAACAATTCTTATACTTCACAAACCATCTATAAAATAAGAAGGCTTGATTTAAATTAATGAGATTATTTATTAGTAAACTCCTATTCACGACGCTTGTCTTTGATGATGGTGGCCAAGTTTACAGCTAGCCCAGTTGAGGATAAAGAGAGGAGCTATAAGGCAAATCTTTGTGGTAAACAAGGAATAGAGGAAGTCAGAGGGTAAGGAATAAGAGGAGATTACATGCTTTTAGCAGATGAATGGCTGTCGTAGCAATTTATGTATCCTTATAAAACTCCTTTGGCTTGATATGATGCCTCTAAACCTTCATTGTGGTGATTCATGACCCACACTCAAAGAACATTCATCACTTTATAGGGTTTGATATTAAAGTATTTATAGGGTGGAGGTAGAAGGCATGCCGTCTTTTTTCTTATTACTTTAATTTTTGTGCTAGCTAGATTAATAAGGTTGCCCCTTTAACATAGAAAATAGAAGCATAATAGTTGGGATAGTATATGATTTCCAAAACATTAAAGCTCCAAGACTTCAAAGTTGCTTCTCTATTTAAGAATTATATCTTTTTTATAGGAAAATGATATAACTTTTTTTTATAGGAAAATGATATAACTTTTACTAAATCAATAATAAAATCTCAAAATTTTCAACAACACTTTCACATGTGCCACAAATAAATAGCTTATAGTTGACTTGTAGAGAAAAAGATATCTTTATTTGGCAAAGCCTAATTAAGAGTGTTATTATTGTTGTTTTCTCACAAAAAATTAACTTCACTACAATGTTTTAAGACTTTATTATGAAGCTTTTATGCAAAGTGAATTTTACTTATGAACGAATATGCCAACTTGAGCTAGTTAGTCGTATATGAGATCTCAATATTCTCATCATAACTATATAAATTTAATGCAATTTTTAAAATTTCAAAGCATTCATGAGTTTGACTAATAGTTTCCTAAATTCACTTTTTTTTATGATTCCCGTAGGAAATTTGATTGCTCAATCAAAAAATTTATATAAAGGTAGTCAAATGTTCTACTACACCCCACAAACACTCAACTCACATAAGGAAAATAAAAACCTAGGAACCAAAGGCCACAGTACAACTCACACAACAAAAAAATCTTATATTAACACAAATATAAGGCAGATCCAAGCAATCCCCTTGAAGCAACCGAGACAGCTACATCAGAATGCTGTTGGATATGATAACCTCCCGTGAATCCAAATCATTCTTAGCAGCCCAATTAGCATGTTGGTTACCCCTATGATGAATAAAGGACCACTGAACCTGCAAAACACTTTGACAAACAAAAATTATCTTCATATGATTAATTAGAAACCAAAGATACTCGTGTAATTTGCAAAAATTTCAAAGCACCAAAGAATTCATTTCAATCACAACTTTATTCCAACCACAACAAATAGCAATATTCAAAGTAGTTAAAATTGCATTTGTTTCAACAATTAAAGGAGAGGATGACCAAATTAACTCTAAATATTAATTGTCTTATTGTAATGATTCCAATAGAGCAAAATAGTTTTATTATTAGCATGTTTGGACTTTCAAATGAATCATACTAAGCTCGTTAAGAAGCCTAAGTCAAGCTCTCCTTTACCTGGTTATTGGCCAAAGGATAATTAGATGAGAAACGATATTGAGAGTCATTATAGTAAAGAAACTAGTTTATTATCATTATTTTTGTAATAACCATAAAGTAGATCATTATAACTTCCTGAAATTGCTAATGTTATTATGTGCCTTTAGAGTAGTCTTGGATGGATATATATTTTGATGTAAAGATTGCAACCCATTATCAATATTTTTTTCCATCTCTAAGTCTAATCCATGAATAATCTTGAGACCATATGGATGGGCAGAAAAAAGTATAGTAATTGTGTGTAGATGTTTAGATGGAAAATACTTAGAAATATAAGACTTTTACTTACCCACTTCATATATTACATATGGACAAAGTAGATTTAAGTCTTTCTCCCAATCTAGTCTTATATTTATAAGAATCTATGTGGAAATTTCTTTTACCTAGCATATGCTAGTATATATATACCATATCTTATTTTAAGAATCTTAAAGAACCTAAATTTGAGACATGTAATCATGTAGTTAATTTTGGTTAATATTTGATGAATTCACATGCACCTTACATTTACTCCAGTTGGCATGTGTAGCTTAGTATTATTCTTTTGGCGCCCCTAATTCTATATTGAATTGTAAATGACATATTGACCTGTGCATATATACGTTAACCCAAAAGGTCGCATTAACTCATTTTATGTCCAAGTGACAACACAGTAGACCTAAACCACTTTTAACCTTCAATTAATCAAATTGATTATCCACTAGCCCTGAACTTAGGTTAAATCCATTACGAACTCTATCTAACCTAATGTGACTTAATTAAATTGAATTAAGCCAAATAGGTCTAATTGGACCTAAATGAACATACGCCCCAATTCTATAAATTTTTGGCTTTCGAAATGACAACTTAGCTAACTAAACCAAGCTTTACTCAAATTCAACTAATAAAGTGAATCTAAATCTATATCAAGCCATATAATTATTTTTATCTTTCTAAGTCAAATTAATCTAATAATACATCCACCCTTACTATTAAGGCATGTTAAGCACAAAGTTAGCTGAAATGCCTAAATGGATAGCCCTACAAAACTACAAATAGTTATAATAGATCGCATCAACGGATATGCTAAAGCAATGTTTCCTTTATTTTTGTTCTCTCACAGGTTTGTAATAATTTCTTCTTTACCTAATTTGCTCTCCAGTATCATTCTTGATAGCTATTATTGGAGAAGCAAAAAGAGTTAGATAAATTAAGCCATAAGTCTAAATAATTTAGGATTCTACCTCATAGTTATGATCTCCTCTTCTAAAGGATCATTGGGAAATTTTGTAGCTTCATTAAGTTCTTTCAGAGTTCTCAACAACACACAAAAAATCACTCAAATTTTTTTTATTAAAAAAAGTAAATAATTAATTAAATAAGGGGAGGAATAATATGTGTGATTAAAGTTTTATGTACGGATTTTCTCCCTTTTTTAGAGATTTTTTAGCTAATTGTTAGCATTTATTGATCTTGATGTCACATCTAAAACCTTCTCCTACTATCACAAGTGATCCTTCTATGATGGTTTGATTATTGTGAGGTATAGTGCACATTATAGATCATATAACCTCTTAACATCATTATCCAAATAAGGGGAATTTTACTAGCACTTTGGCTCAACAAGGCATTACTTTCGGCAATTAAATATTTTATAACTATAATGAAACTTTTAATTTATTTGCTCATTGCACTCACCTTATAATGTATTTTAATTTATACGCCATTGTGTAGTGCTTACTAAGAGGAGCATTTTGAGCTATATTATGCCTAATTTGGTGGAGTAATGAAAGATAAATAATGCTTACAAACTTAAGCATCTCATAATTTTTATAGCCTTAATGAAAGTTTGGAAGCAAAATTCTGTACTTCTATTTAACTTGTAACGAGATTATGGATTTAAATTTTTCCTTACAATCCTTTCAACTAATACACTTATAGTTTGTATAATTTGATCTTTCAATAAATTATGCACCTACCACGTACATTGAAGCGAAGACCCTAATAAGTCCATACATAACCTCATAGGTAATGATGTGTAATGTGATTGCAAATCATTATGGTTGATTACATTATGTAATACTCTCATTGATAACTTGATTTAAGGAAATCTTTGTAATACCCTCAAATGAATGTTTACTTTGAATTTAATTTTACACATGCATATCTAATTAAAAATTTTTTTTAAAGAAATCTCTTAAAGTGCCATTTCAAATATTTTATGTGTTGGATAACTATACAAAAATATCGTCTGAAGATGGTAATACTATTCCTGCAAATTATTATTCCTGTGAATTATTATTAGAAAATAATTGGCCTATTGTA